GGCGTGATGATCGGGAATGAGGCGATTGCTTGGACACTCGAGCATCGCCGAGGCGGCAGGGTACCAGTCAAGCCACGACCTCGCCTGACACACACACACGGGCGGCACGGCCCCCACAATAGCAAAGACGAGAGGCCGTTCACCCCCCCAAGGCAGGCACCCTGACACAATGACATCCACACACACACACACACACACATGCACACACACGCACGCACACACACACACACACACATGCACACACACACATGCACGCACACGCACACCCCCCCAGCCACTCACCTGCTTTTGCAGGTTAGCGAGCTCCTTCTTGATGTGGTCGATCACGGCCTCCAGCGCGGTCATGTCGCTGGGCTCAGCCTCCTGGTGCAGGTGGTAGATGTCCAGGTGGTCGGGGATGGGCACCTGGGGGGGGAGGTATGTATGTGTCAGAGTGCGTGTGTGTGCGTGTGTGTATGTGTGTGAGTGTGTAAGTGACCCACGCAAATGGAAGCTAGCCCGTGTGTGTGTGTGTGTGTGAATGTCTGGAATGGGACAGGGGGCGTGGGGTGTGTGTCGGGGGCGCAAGGGGTCGACTGGAGCCCAGGCCGCATGGCGCAGGACCCAGCCCGCGCTCGGCGCGCCGGCCTCCCGCTGTCACCAGCCAGTTGTGGGCGCTGCCGCCGGGGGCTCGCCACACGCCCTTCCCCTCGGAGCATCGCCACCACCGCTGCGGCCGCCCTGGCGACCAACCGGCTGCACCGCCCCCTCCGCCGCTCCACGCCCTGCGGCCCCTCCCACAGCATCTCGGCGGTCCACCAAGCATCTGCAGCATCGAGCCCAAGGCTTCGCGTGCCGCCACGCGCGCGCGGTCCCTGCGTCGCGCTCCTCACCTCCCGGTTTGCGATGCACTGCAGGAAGTTGGTCTTGCCGCTGCCGTTCTGCCCGATGAGGCCGTACCGCCGCCCGATGGTGAGCTCGATGGAGCACTCCTTGATGAGCTCCACGCCGTTGAGGCCCATGGTGAAGCCCGCAATCTTGATGTCCCTGCGGG